CATAGACTGTTTTCCCTTTAATTACAATTGTTTGCACTAAACTAATGGCCACTACTTATCTTTGTACATATGCTAAATTAAAAATTGTAGTTTTGTGGCTCGCTCACAACTAAGTTTTATGGTATGCTAGCATTGTGTAGCTTGTGTTTCTAGGCTAGGTTTCTCACAACAGCCTGCCTGTATATTTCTTGTATATTTCTGTAATATTTACAGAATAAATTTGATATGTAAAAGTCATAAATCATATACCTACAGAAAATCTAGCAGCTGTCAGGCATCTCCAGTCTTTTTGCATGACTGATTTTAAGCAATTATTTCAAGCCCTGTTTAAGTGGATAATCCTGGGGCTGAATTTTCTTCATTGGTTTTGTAATATTTCTAGGTTAAAATAGTAGAGCTGAGTTGGTAAGGGAAACAGCTGACATTTTTGTCTTCCGTTCCAACCAAAGGGCTAGATCCCCAGCTGGTTAAAGGTACCTTGGTCTACCATCTCCCAACATCTCAGGATTTGAAAAAATGAGCTCTTACAGGCAGCTTAAGAGTCCTTGAGGTACTTCCCACCAAACAACCTGAGATTTAACCCTTAGGTGAATAAAAGATTTTGAAAGTACTGAAAGTATTTGCATTAATTTTCATTAAAAATCACCACAGATTACTAATTCAGAATGACAACAAAAGGAACTACTTAATTGAAATAAGATACATACATACTCACGCTTTCACTGAGATATTGCACATAGGTGGCCCATTTACATAGCTTTGTAGCTAATAATTTAATGCAGAATTACTAAAAATATGAATAGCAGTATGTAAAATAGAAGATATTTTAAATATTCCTTGGGAAGAAATGTATCATATCTTATGGAATCACTGAAATGCTAGAGTTCCACTTCTTCCGTATAAGTAAAACTCAAATGTTTGTTAACAAACTTTATAAAATTATAAATAAAAAGCCTCACTAACAAATTCTCATCTAGACTTTTAAAAATATATCTGCATCACCTACTTATTAGTCATGCACACGCACAAAAAAATAAAGGCTATGAGTACAGTGCGCACACACTCACCGAGTAAGCAAAAGTATTTAGAGTTGAACTTCAGTTGTATTTTACTTAACGATATATAATACTCAAAAAATACTGTCTAACCACCCATAATGTACAGTTGCACTGGGCTCTAAAGAGGCACATTCTTTGTACACTGTTGACAACAGCCCTGAAATCACAAGTTTTACAGAGAAAGGTAGGTAAGCATTACACGCACAGACATGAACAGGTAAACAACCAGACGGTATAGTTGACACTGCATAGAAAAAACACAGTCCAGGTCAGCACTGAAACAATGCAAAAACTGAACAAAACTGGTATGTTTGCTTTTAAGATTGTACTTTTGTTTGTTTGTTTCTTTTTTTTTTTTTTTTTGCTTTAACCCTTGTTTTCATTCTCAATTATCTAAGTAGCCTGGACTTGTTTTGGTCCTACTGCAACGCCATTACAGTCGAGAATGTACTGTAAACAACCTTGAGGTGGTGGTCGCTGAGGTGGGATTTTGTTTGGCTCTGGCTCCTTTAGTGATCCACTCTGGAAAATACATTTGAAAACAGAAGAGAGAAAAAATTAAGAGTAGCTCAGTTCCAATTTTCCACTAATTTGTCTTTATTTTCATGAGAAATCTCCATATTGGTTTGGGGCTGCACATGTAATTTTAATTTATTCCAGATAACATTTTCGAGTTTAGTTGCTGCCTGCCATGACATATGAATCTTGGACTAATCCAAAGTTGAGCTTTAAAAAAAAAAATTGGTTTCCCTTCTGCAGCATGCGATCATGGCATAAGGAGTTCCTTCCCAGAGGTGACTGCTATTTGTGTATGCTCTTTCTCCTTCAGTTCCTAGCACCTTGAACCACTTTTCTGTATCGCATTGGTTCTGCTTTATTTTTAAGACAGACTGAATAGAAAGTGGACTTCAACAGATTACCTTTGTGTAATTGACAAAATAATTTATTTTCAATTACATTCCCTTGCAGGTGGAAGCACTAACACTGCAGAATTTTTGTTAGTGGTAGTTTCATTTTGATTCTCTAACTATAAATGGGAAGGGAGATAGACTACTCTAGGTTAGCTGTTTTGCTAAAGCAAAATGAAAGAAGGAAGCAAAAACCACAGGCAAATAACGAAAATAATTGAAATTACTTCATGCTACTCCATCTGACATGTTATTAGAAACATATGTAATACTTAACTTTTCAAAAAAGGAGATTTATTTGGCAGTATCCTTTTCAAATATATACTTGTCCAGAGGAAGAGATGGGCCTGAACCAAAACTTTGGAGTGGAACACCCTCTGGGAACATTAGCATTTGAATCCAAGCTTTGCCTTGGGCCCATCTCTAATATTTCAAAAAGTGAAATATGTTAAATCACTGGACATTATAACTTGTTTCTTTTTAAGGATCCAGAAATTAAATTGCCATCTGTCAAGAGAGAAAAAGCCCAGAATGTATTAAACGGTAAACGTAAAATTAATTTTAAATGTTTCTTGCAAAATTTACTGTTTTTTTTCCTGATAAATTTGTATTTGATCTAAGAACTGTGTAAATAAATCTCCTGCTGAGATCTCCTAATGATGAGAATTCCTACACGGCAATCTAGAAATTGTAATTTTTAGAGGTGACAAGACACAAACCCTTGTGCAGCTGTTCCAGATTGCTTTGTCTACTTTAGCTACATAAACAACAGGAGGTATGACAGGTTCAAAACTCAAATCATTGAGAATCACCAACCTTCAGAAGACCAGATCCGGGCTAAAAATGATATATACAAAATGAATGTGGCAAAATCTCATTGTCATAATAACTGACCCAGTTATATAGTTCTTGGCAAGCACCAATGTAAGGATGAGGGATGTAGAAAAGAAGAGAATTTCATAAATAAAGACACTGCCACCAGAAAACTTTAAAATGCTTTAGGGCGAGTTAAAATTTTTTCTGTTCTGTTTCTCTCCTTCCTTTAATTTTCTGAACCACATGTAAACATTGTCTTACTATCCTATGCGTGTTTTGGTGGCATGTTAAATATGTGTGGTATTTGTTCTGTATAATGCATTGGAGCTCACTGAAGCAGTATGTATACACATCAGGAACTCTCTGGATACTGAGGAAATTAGCAGAGACTGGGAAACTTGAAATGTTGCCCTAGAGGAACCAACTCCTTTCATATTCTAGTACAATTGTTCTGATGCATCTGGCATCTTCCTTTGTACACCTTTAGGGCATTTGGGTGTTCATTATTACTGGGAGAGCCTGCTATTCCTTTGGTGCTGCAGTGTGACACATTAAGTGTGCTCTTAAAGGGAAAATATGAATTTTTGGGTTCAAGTGCTTCTAATAGCTTTTTTTCTGGAGGATTGAAGTGATCATCTTACTTTTGCTAGAAAGCAGAAACCGTGCATAATATTCTTTAATGAACGTTCCTACTATTGCCATGTGATAGACTTCCTAGCCTTACAAAGGGCCATAAAACAATCTGCATAGTTCTGTCTCTTTATAGCTCTTTTTTTAAGCTAGAGGAAGGCTACGGAGAATATGATTGTTGCTATTTTTTCTACTAAAGCAGAAGTAAAACATTATGTAGGTAAAGCTCATATTTTGTTGAAAAATGAAAATATAGGCTAGGGATTAAAATTCAGATCTACTTTCGTGTTAAAACAACAGCTGACAGTCTTCTGTCTCCTCCATGCCTGGAGGCCAAAGGAAGGCTGCTGTTTGTTCTTACACTGAAGCGGTCACGGACTTTATCACACACAACACCTAACTGACGTGACGTGACGTGACAACAGCAGTATTTATGCAATCTGCATATCACTCCATCTGACAAAGAAATTACTTTATCCTAACTTAAGCTTTCAATGAACATTACAGAAGCTTGCTAACCCCTACCTTAACTGTTCTTAAAGTTTAGAGCCTTCACGCGTCTTCTGTTGAAGACGTATTTCTCCTTCTCTAGTCACTAACTACAGCTGTCCTGATGTTACCACCCACATATCCTTTTTTTTTTTTTAAAAACCAGATATCACCTGGTGCTTCCAAGAACCTCACCCACACTCCAGGCCAATCACATGGGTATATTACTTTTGCTCATTAACCAACCCACCCAGGCTGACCCGAAAAGAATAATTAGTACTACACTCCTAATTGAGAAATCTTACGCATGTTTTTTCAGTGGTCTGTAGTAATCCAGTCCTTTTTTCAAGAGTCTTTCTTTCAGTCAGAAGCCTTGATACGTGATATTAAAGACAGGCTTTGACCTAGAGTTTTGTCTGCTGTCCTGAGCCAAGGTCCTTAATAAAATCCAGGCTTCTTCTAGAACACCAGTTGTTGGCAAATCCGCTGCAGACTGTTACTGCTCACCTCTCTAAGATGGTGTGCCAGTGTAATTGCAAGAGCTGCTAACTCCTTATAGGCAACATAATCTCCCTGAACAGAGATGCTGGACTAGACCTGTCCTGCAGATGTAGTCACCCCTCTTGTTTTCTCCTTTTGTTGCCCACTCTAGGAGAGCCCACCCTCCTACCAGTTTCTTTTAGAACAAACATGTTTTCCTGCACTGCAGCTCTGATCTACGAACCTGCCTACTGCTTAGTTCAAATATCGCAAGAAGTGAGGATTAAAATATAGAATATATAACAGAAAATGGCCCTAAACAGATTCTTATTTGGAGCTCGGGGCTAATGAGCAAAATTAGCAGTAGAGAAACTAGAAGCTACAGTGTTTAGTATGGTTTAGTATTACCTAAGCGAGGTGTGGTAACTGCTGTGGTAGGGAGCCCTTTTGGTTTTTATTTTATGGACCACAACTTTCACATCATATCCAAATTCCCAGAAGAAAAGGGACTGCTGATGTTGATAGTAAAAGTATCTAGAATTGCTTATTTGCAGAATCTCTCCTGTTCAAAATGGATTCATTGTTTATTTAACTTTTATAAAAAAGAACAACTTTACTTATGAAAACCTCTAAGCCACATGAATGCTGCAAGTATGCTATAGTGATTTCTTAACTGTGGGTATAACAATCGATGCTTTAGTTGCACAACAGTCGTTAAGAATATTGGCTAAGTTAATTATAGCCACAGCAAAAGACCCTCTACTTGTCTGTAAGACAGATGTCTATAGATGTCTCTGTAGCACTTCCTTCCCTTCCACATGTACCTGAAATGGTCTCCTCAGAATTTTAGGGGTAGAAGTGGAGGAGAGAGGTCAGTTTCTTCTTTAAAGCATGTTGTATTAGAATTTGATCGGTCATATTACTTCTTTTTCTACTTTTTGTATTTATATGCATACAGACTGATTCATATATACTTGAATTTTGAACAGTCTGAAGAATGTTGAAATGTGTGGGAGCAAAAGCAGCAACTTGGCAGGGAAACAGCCCTTGGGCAAAAGAGATGCTAAACTGAGTCCCAGCAAAAACTGATTTTGATTTGGCTGAGTTTGAAAATCTTATGAACTACAGTTGGAGCACGTATAGTTGTTCTGGGGTTTGGTTTGTTTTTTCTTTTCCTTTTTTTTTTTTTTTTTTTTGGTAATGGAACAATGATAGAAGCTTTTCATAGATGTCTCAATATCTGAAGGGAAAGCCGTGTTTTTCAGGTCAGGAAGTGTAGGGATCAAGCAAGAAGTGCCAAAATACAAGCTGAGTTAGATCCTATGAAGGAAACAAGACTAAATAGTAAAACAAACAAGCAACAGGAAATTTAAGAAAAAAAATGGCGTTGCTAAGCACAGTGGTAATTTAGATACTTTCAGTAGGGTCTCAGTACTGAACAAATGCTTGAGCAGTGTCATGGATGATGATAAATACAGGAGCAAAGGCAAGATGGAGAGTTGGAAAAGATCTACAAATGAGACGGACATAAAAATCAAAGATCTTCTTGAGCTCATAATGGCCAAACCAGAGATTCTCCATCCCAGAAATCAAAAAAACTGATTCATGAAATTCAGAATTCAGAAATATCAGTAGCAGATATTTTCAACAATGGAAAATGTACAAGTTACACTGGAGAAGGTATGCCTTACTACTACAAGAAGTACAGTGCGAGTAGGAGAGTGGCTAGTGAGGAGACAGGCAGTTATTGAAGAAAAACTAATGGGAAGGAGCTAACTAACTGTAGCATTCCTAAAGGATTATTGTTGGGTGAATCTCAAGTAGAATTTTCATTAAGTTAGCACAACATAGTAGGTGCGTGCGATTAAAAAGTGTAGATGGTACAGAGGACCAAAATATCCTAAAGAAAGAATGACATGATGGCTGGAATATCAAAAAAAAAAAAAAAAAAGGAGAGATGAAACTTACCAATGTAATATCCAAAGTAATTTATTTATAGACTAATAACATGCATCTGTCATAAATGCAGAGCTCCCTAGCTGAAAACTAATGGGAAAGATTTATATGTATTAGTTATCGGTATGGAGGTGCAGTGAAAAAACCCAAAATCTTACAACGCATTAAGTGAAGTATTTCCAGTAAGTTTTAGACATAATGCTGTTGATCATGTTCATCTCCCCTGCTCGAGAAAGATGAACG